AAAGAAATCATCATCTTGATTTAACATCTCAAGTGCCCACTGACAAAACTCCAGTCTCCGCTGATTGTGAGAGTCTAATTTTAGTAACTCTTGGTGTAATTGGTTGCGATAAGGATGTGCTATGCTGTGCTTTTGTAAAATCCTATGTATCGACGTTGTACTAATACAATTGCAAGGCTTCTTGATGCTGTTACATAGCTACTTTTTCGGACTTTAGAAAAGAACCTGGAAAACTCTTAGAGATAAGTATGGACAACCTTACATAAGTCGAAATGGCTGCATTCACCCATGACGATTAATATGGGTCGATTTGAAAAAAATTTTTTCAATAAAGTAGGTACAGGTTTTGCTAACAGATGACAAGATTTTTTTCAAAAACAACTGATTATCTCGAAAACAGTAAGTTTTAAACGCCATGTACATTTAAAAAAACGCAATAATATACACGGTGTTCCGTTTAAAATAACAAAGTTATGTAGCGCCCACGCGAAATGGAACACCCTGCAAAGCTAAAAATATTTTCTTTACATGGCTCACGTGATTCTAGACAACTTTTATTGAAACCATTTTTTTTTAATTTTACAGTTACAGAGTTACAGAAGAATCCCTCTTAGGTGGAATACGCTGTATTTATGTCTTTTCTAGTCTACAATTTCTCGTATTTCCATATAGTCTACATATGTCTACGGTTAGAGTAGAAAAGAGGGAAAATATTTTTATTTTTCATTTTACGAGAAAACGGCATTCTTGATTAAAATTTTTGCTAGTCTTTAAAATGCGGTTGGCATGGAGAAATTTCATCTTGCGTGTACAGGGTGATCAGAAATTCGGTAAATCGTACAAGAATAAACTGCCTTTGTTTTTAACAATATATATTGATGGTAAATTTCGTTTTGTTCCTTGTCAAATATTAAATATTTGTATACAAAATATCCCTTTTATTTCTTCCTTGCACAATTGTAATATGAATGATTAACAGAAGGTGCCTATAATAAACTAAAATTACCTAAATCACACCAAATTCCGCATTGCTGCACTGCACTGCCAGGCCATTTGTTGACGACCGAATTTGCGGCCAGGTGGCCCAATGCAGCTGTGTTTGTGCCGCGTTTGCCCGCGCGCCCTTTCTTCAACTGCACTGAAAGAAATGCGTTTTATTCTTTATTAGAATTCTATATACCATTATAAGACCTTTGTATACTATATGTGACAGTTAAACAGGTGAATATTGGGATATAAAACGCGTATTGCTAGCACAGTTGTATAGTGACTATAAACCTTATTCTTTATTAAATTATTGTATAACTAGTATACAACGTTTTTTATGCCCTTTACAAAATAATAGCAATAACTGTTATTAAAGTGTTCCATATCGTTATTAGAACATCTAGTACTGGTTATAAGTTTTATAATAATAAATGTATTAAACTGTTGTATACTCTGTATGAGTTAAAAACATATGTCATTAAGTTTTCAGAAATTTTATTGGATAACTGTAATTACAAGCTAAGGTTCTAATGTAAACATACATAAAACATACTTTTAAGCATTAAAAATGATGACAAATCGCTCCCAAAACTGTCCAGTTTATTTTCTTAGCAACGATGCACCCGTATTTTCTTGTATTACATGAGAATTTGCACTATAACTCTTCCACCTTAAGAATGAAGCATCCCCAGAAAGGTTGAGCTTCTTTCCATATAATTTTATTTCCTCTGGTTGATTGACTTTATACCCATGCTCTTCTTTGTCACCGTTAACCTTCTGTTCCTCCATCTTATGTAAAACTTAACATCAGCGATTTCTAATAGGACCTACAAAATAATAATTTTTAAGATTTAGACAAGATTTACATTTGAAAAAACAAAACAATTACAAGCCATAAAACAGTTAGATACTTACATAATAATTTTCCATTTCACACAACGCGATATGATCATGTATCCCACAAAACATGTGCATATACTGTCCATTTTCATCAAACTAGACGTGTGTAAGTCGATGCACAGCGGACTGTCGGAAATTTTACGATTGTTGTATTTTCTCTTCTTGAGTAAAGATAATAAAGACGTTGTGGTTTTGTGTGTTTATTTTGACAATGATTGAACATGTATGGACAATAAAAGTGGACTGTATAAGATAGTTGAGTACCGTTCTGCTTCATGCATAGCATGCTACTGAAATCTTAGAAGGGATGAGCTCGTGCGGCGAACCCTAAATCAGCGGCTGGAATAGCCAGGTTTCTTATTGAGTCGGCGCACTTCGCTCTCGGGTCTGACATATGATTATTATTACAAGACTATGAATATAACTTAACAACGATCATAACCGATTATGCACCGAGAGGTGACGATCACTTAACCATTATAAGATGCGTTTTACACGTTAAAAACGGAAACATATTCAGTATAAGAACGAATAATTCTGTTAATACAATTGTTATATACAAATTCGGATACTGGTCTTTATACAACAAATCTTCCCTACTATACAACTGGAATATAAAGTCTATAACACCTAATAATGTATAAGTAATTCATTATAACCTTTATTTCATAGATGCATAAGGTGTATTAAGCACCTTCCAGTTAAACTGATTGAATAATGAGTATGGAGATGATTGCTTTTTTTTAATAAAAGTTGTATATTGGTTATAAAAGTTTTAATATGCGCTATACACATTATTCTAGATAAACAGTTTAATAAGCCCATTTCTTTCAGTGTGGGCGATCAGACCTGTATATGGGTATGGCTAGATGGGAACAAGTTTTTCAAATATTTCAATGCCGAGTTGCTGCGACCGAACCTGGTACATACTGCCAACATCTTGGTTCTTCAATTAAGATCGGAAAGACTTTAACATTGCGTACGATCTAAAGCATCATCTGCGTAAGCTTATTTCGAATGTTGAAACGTTTCCGTGAACGTTTTACCCAGTTACACGCAAAATTTTCGTTGTATCGTTGTTCAAGAATAGCGCACATTTCAAAAATCGTCACTAAAATTTAAACAGATTGCACTCAAATAACAATATCACGAAAACTAAATGAGATATCAATAATTCAAGATATGTGGTTACAGAGGAGATTATGCGCAATGCAATGCTGCCAACCACAACACCACTAATATCTCTATTAGTGCATAATTAAAAAGGTTATATTATTTTCTAAAAAAACCCGTAAAATATTGATACAAAAAATATATCCTTTGTTTTTTTCATATTATATGCTTGAAAACAAATTGCAGAATAAATTTTTTGGAAATGGCCCATGACATGACATAGCCCACTAACTGTGATATTTCATTAAATACGGAAGAAAACATTTACTTGGCGTTACGACTTACCTACCGCAAAAGACATAAATAACCTTTTTTTTACCTAAATTTCCCGTGGCTACATTTTCTTTTATGACTTAAGTGTCACCAAACTTGCCCGGGCGAGCCCAACCGTCAATCACCGGCTTCAATAACACATTTTTATGGGTGCGGTATTATTTTTGAACGTGAGAAAGGCTTACACCCGAAAGTGTAGTCAGGGTGATCGAATGGAAGTTTCCAAGAAATAAACAAATATTCATCTCAAAGTACGAGAAGTAAAATACTTAAAATATATCAGAAACAGAGAAATTTGATGTATTTAAAAAAAAATTCTTGCAAATCTCTGCAGGATTCCTTTCCTGATAAATTGTTTCAGAATTAGAATAAAATAATTCATTTTTGCTGAAAAATTACTCGCAAATATTACATTTTATGAATTTAACCAAAATAAATGTTTGAGGTAAACATAACCATGAGAGAACATTACCGCCTCCAATTTTTTTTTTTAGTTTTTTATTTAATCATCCCTAACCTTCTATTTTTGGGTCACTCCTCTATTCTGTTCAAAAATGTTCAAATAAATCTTGACTGACGGAGTATACGCAACGAGACTTCTTCGCTGAAATTTTGCGGCGATCTCCCGGACTACAAGACATTTCTCATAGCCGGGAAGGTTTTATTAAAGACTAGTGGACACTGCCTCCCTTCGCTGCCGTCAATACATCTCCCACTTTTACTACATTTTAGCCGTGGTGTTATATTGCCGAGATTTTATTCGTTTTTGATGGGGAAAACGTATTAGACAAATGTGTATATCGCGGCATCAGGGGGATGATTTTTTCTTGTATCGGCGGCTTTAGTATTACTAAAATTGCAGTAAAATATTTGTTTTTCGTTTCGGTGGCAATCCGAAGGCAGAAGTAAGCCATAAAAACTTTGCTCACCTCCGGAGCGTCCCCTAGAAAATAGTTCCGAAGGTTTTATGTTTACAAATACAGGGTGTTTCATATTCATCAGAGTTGGTATCTCGGTTATTGTGAGAGCTGTGTACAATAAAGAATTGAAAATGAATTTATTTATTTATTTATTTATTTATTTATTTATTTATTTATTTATTTATTTATTTAT